TGAAGCTTTTTTTTTACAACTTAGAATGGCAAACAAGCTGACGGCTCTCCTGATGGAAAGGGGTAACCGTTGCCTATATACTTGAGCAGTACCTGACATGTTCATACCAGCATATTGTTTCCCTCATGCCTTGCCATTCCTGAAAACTCGGGTGTTATTCCCCTGTACCTTGTAAATTCACTACCATATATATACACAGGTAGTCTATATAGATAGAGGTAGTCTATATACACAGATAGTATACCCTGAGAAAGGTCATAGACTACTTTATAGTGCGAAAAAAGTATTGTAAGGGATTAAAAGCGGAGATGAAAGGTTGTATAAAAGTATCGTCATTGTTTAAGTGAAACAAAGAAACTTTTTTAGGTTATAATCTAAATATATTTCCTTTATTTGGTCAATTTCATTATACCACGCTGACGAAGTCGCGGACACACCTAATATACATATAAGGATGGGACCTTTAAATCAAAACAAAGCCTTGAAAACACAACTATTATATATAAATAAAATAATTATTTGCTAAGTATAATATTTAGAACAAGTGAATATGGCAATAATGTATCCGACTCTTATAATAAATTATATTGTATCTATTAATAAATAAACTGAATTAATATGTAAGAAGAATTAATTAGTAAATTTATGTTATAGTAATTTCATCTTCCTGTCCTTATCCCAATTATTTGTTACTCATATTACTTAAGGTTTTGGCTTTTAGTTGTACAATCGGCCAGCATCCTGACATCAACCCTCTAGAAATAATATAATAAAAAAATATGGTCATTATTAGCACTTTGATAATTAAGATAAATCACGTTATTTAAAAAAATCCAATAAGTAGTTTATGTTACTCAGTTAAGTAGAAACATATCACATTATTAATTAAAATATTACAAGGATCAAAATGGTTCATACTAAATCCACACCGATTGAGCTACACGGTTATTTGCGTCTGTGTGCGTGTATTACTGTGTGTGTGCGTAAATCCATGCGATTAAACCTAAAGTTGAGCGGCATCGTTTTGTAATAGGCATCTTAAGTGTATATCGTTTAATTATACATTATAAAAATACTTTCATCTATACATATAAATAAAATTGGAGTGTGAACATGAAATGAATATAAATACGGTAAATACACCAAAATAACATTTACAATTTTTGTCTGTCTATTTGTTCCGGCTTATCTCTGAAATGGCTGGACCGATTTTGACGGGACTTTTTTTGGCAGGTAGCTGATGTAATAAGGAGTAACTTAGGCTACTTTTATTGCAGAAAAAATCTTTTATTTTAAAAAAAGTTAAATTCCACGCGGGCGAAGTCGCGGGTACAGCTAGTAATAAATAAATATAAATACTTTTAGGTAATGTGAATGAAGCAACAGTTGTATATAAAGATATACAACTCTTGCCATTCATCACATGTCTCATACATGCTCGACGGTTCCATATACATCATGTTACACACGATCAATCTCGGTTTTTAATTTAAATTACACTAATCAATAATTAATTTGAACATATGTGCATAATTAAATAATTAATCAAAAACGACATAAATCTTATAAACACACTAGTTGACCCGGCAAACAGTTTGCCATATAAATTAATCAGTTATCGACCGGCTTGTCTAGAAAATTGGTAAATTACTAACATTGCTATTAAAAAATTGGGTTTGATGATAGAAAGCAAAAATTCAGGATTTAGTATATTTTTTTTTTACAAAATCATAAAAAATTGTCAAAATTTATCATTACTCTTATGACTTGAGGCACAGATAACATAATTAAACATACTTAAGGTATGAAAACTAGTTTATGTCCTATTACCAGACCTACTTACACACACAAAATTCAAAAGAGCCCCTCCGATCGGTCCCCCGTCCAATTCAAACGGTAATCGAAATTACGACGGCCTGAGCCGAGGTTCGAATCCCTAGTGGTGTCCTCAAACTAAAAAGTTGGCCTTCAGCCGCTCCATAAGTCCTTCCGCGTTGTGGCATCTATCTGCACTCGCCCCCTAACGTCCGGTGAAGCTGTAAAGGACAGCTGCGGCCAACAGCATTAGAGTAGTCCGAAAAAAAAACCAATTCAGACGGCTTTCGAGTCATATGAATATAACTAACTCACGCATATCATTCATGGAATCCACTACATTTTTATAAAATATTGTGCCATAGTAATAATATTCTCAGGAGAATTCACACAGCGCCATCCACACAGACCCAAGTTAAGCAAGCTGAATCTTGTGTTATGGGTACTAGATAACTGATACAAATACATAGATATGCTATATCCTGTAGACTTTGTATAAAGTGTTCTGTACTAAACTTTGATACACTTTTCACACTTCACTTTGACTACGACGACCCGTAACAGAATTGCGCAGCCCTGGTCAAAAGGCATTATTAATCGATCAAACGGTAAATTAACCTTTATGTCGTTTGAATTAGACACAATCCATTCTTGATAGTTTGTAACTTGTGATCTATAAAAAGCAATCGAACGATTCAATGATTGCGTTGCCATTTTAATAATTGGAATTATTTATAATAATAATAATAATCTCAGGACAATTCACACAGTGCCATCTAGACCCAAGTTAAGGTAGCTAAAGCTTGTGTTATGTGTACTAAACAACTGATACATATATACATAGATACTTTTTTTTGTAAGTACATACATATTATACATAGAAAACACCCAGACCGATACAAACAATCATACTCATGAATACAATTGTTTGTGCCGTGTGAGGAATCGAACCCGCGACCATCGGTCGTAAAGCGGTGTACTAGACCGCTAGACCACCGAGAATTAGTGGTTTTTAATTAGTTAATTTTTGAATTAGTGCTAATTGGTAGTTTGTATTCAGACGCTTAAATTTAAAAATGTAAAGTAACAATAAAATTATTCATAAGAGCAACACGCAAATTTCTTGCTCGTTCGTCTTGTGATGAGACAGCTTTCCGAATGAGCGATAGATTAAAAAATGTGATTACTATTCAAAAGTGCTTCGATGTAAGTATATTTGAATAAATGATTTTCTATTCTATTCTATTCTATTCGGAATTGTACTGTTCTAATTAGGGTTGCCAACTTTTTTTGATAAAAAAACGTATAATCTGGTTTGGTTAGGAAAAACAAGTATTTTTCTAATTCTATATTTTTATTGCCTTAAAAACGTATTTTTGTGTGCTTTTAGCAAATCTGGTTTGGTTAGGAAAAAATAAAGTATGTATTAGAAAAAACAAGTATTTTTCTAATTCTATATTTTTATTCCTTTAAAAACGTATTTTTGTGTGCTTTTAACATTAGAGCAAATGTCACAACTCACGATTGACATCTAATATTTCGATCAGTAATTATAAATCATTTTAAGTACCCATAATGAGTTTGTTTTTAAATTTTTGTTTTTCTTGTTTTCTTTCAATTAATTATTAAAGTGCACCGCCTTATTATCTCTGATCAACGCGACGGTTGACTGGTAGAGAATGCCATAAGGCATTAAGTCCGCCATGTATACATTTTTGTGTGCAAAAGAATAAATAAATAAATAAATAAATGAGTATTTTGTTTCATGCATCACAGTGAATGTTGAAAATAAAGTATTTTTAATAATAATAATATATTTATTTGTCAGAATATAATATATGTTTCATCATAATCTGCTGTTTCCAGCGTACAAATATTAATTCTGTAATCATCATTATAAATCAATCAAGTCATTATAAATTCTAAACATTAGTCATTCACCATAACTTCTTACTATAAAAACATTATGGAATATAATAGAATGCCAATATTTGATTAATTGTCAATATTTTATTTTGTAAAATATTTTGCATACTTTATTTGTATGTAAAAGTATAATTATTAAAAATAAAGTAGGATACGTTATTATAAAGTATGTATGCTAACACTAGTTCTAATTGTTCATTTCTTTAACTATTGATCGCCTAGTAGTCAAAATTATACCATAATGAATTTAAATTATAAACTTATAATTTAAATTCATTATGGTCTAATTTTAAACATTATTAAGTTTATATTGTCAAAAACTATACTTCTAAACTTCACAATTTCTTCGCGCTAAGCCTAAACTTTGTATGTCTGAAATTTCATACTCCGAGGGAGTTTTTCTCCGTGCAATTTTCGTAAAAAGGGGTACAAAGTTTTTGGTTCTAATTGTAACTGTATATAGATAGTTAGAAAAAGAATAATAATAAACACATAATCTATACATATAAATAAAATTGGAGTGTCTGTTTGTAATATTGAAATAACCGTTTTTTACTACGTGCATATGAATATAAATACGGTACATACGCCAAAATAACATTTTTTACAATTTTTGTCTGTCTGTTTGTTCCGGCTAATCTCTGAAATGGCTGGAACGATTTTGACGGGACTTTTATTGGCAGACAACTGATGTAATAAGGAGTAACTTAGCCTACTTTTATTTTAGAAAAATAAAGTTAAATTCACGACGAATTCGCAGTTACAGCTAGTAACAAATAAATAATAACAGTAATATCACAAATCATTACGCATAGAGAAGAAATAAAGTAGGTACCTAATGATTAGAGAAGGGTAAATATAACAAGTGAATATCTAAATCACATTTTTTAATTCATCTTGTTATCCACTCGGGTTGTCTACCTAAACTATATATCCAATCTATAGGACACAGTCACCTAGATACATAAAATAATAATTGCATTTAATAATGTCTAGTAAGACAAATTCAATATTGTCTACTAGGCACTGCTGTATCTAAATTATGTTATCTGTGATCTAAACTGTGTCACCCCACCTTACATTTTCCTATTTTTATTTAGTATATAAGATCATTATTTCTATGTACATATTGTCAGTTTATTATCATCTGTAATATACATCGTCTCGACCAGCAACATCATATTATTTACCCGCAATTTAATATCTTTTAATAATGCATCGCCTATAACCTTTGCAACATACTGAGAAATTGGAACAATATGGTAATCAAACGAGCGCAGGCGCCGCCCGATGCCGCCTTGCCGGCCGGCAAGAATAAAAACAAAATTAACATACTCTGTGTTTACGTTTGCCCGAGGTTTATATCTTACTAGCTTTTGCCCGTGTCTTCGCTCGCGTTAATTTATCCACTTAGGGGTGGACTTTATCAAAATTCTTTCTTAGGGGATGCCTACGACATAGTAGCTTTATGCATGCAAAGTCTCAGCCCGATCGGTTGGTCCCCGTGGCATATAACTTTCATTTTCTAAAATAAAAGTAGCCTAAGCTACTCTTTATTACATCAGCTACCTGCCAATAAAAGTCTCATCAAAATCGGTCCAGCCATTTCGGAGATTAAACGGAACAGACAGACAGACAGACAAAAATTGTAAAAAATGTTATGTTGGTGTAAATACCGTATTTATATTCATATGCATGTAGTAAAAAACGGTTATTACAATATTCAAACAGACACTCCAATTTTATTTATATGTATATATGTTATACCATTATTTGCCATAGACCCTGTTAATAATATAAATAATAAACTGTAACTCACTGCCATTCATGCGTAAATAAAATATCTCCTTTGGAAAGTTTACACTCTATCCTGAGGAGATAAAAACCATCGCTCCTAAGAATATTCTTCAATTCTTGTCCCTGAAGTCTAGGTAGCGAACTTTGAAAAAGGACGAGCACAGAGCAAGATCTATCAGGTCGCAGTGCTATAGGTCTCTCTACCACTGAGTAATAGCTAAATCCTCTCAATAAAAAAACAGAGTACATTACTGCTGACTTATGTTATCTGTGATGCTGACCATTGGATATTCCATATCCTGGAATTACCCTGAAATAATTTCAAAACATCTCTCAAATCATATTTACTGAGCAAAGCCTATTACTTACTATTACATCCTATGTGGTTGTAGCTCAATCATGCATAAATAAAATAAATAATAATAATAATAATAATCTTTATTTGTCTCAAACAAAAACTTTTTACACAATACAACTATTGCCCATAGAATAATATAATTTAAAACTATTGAATGAGTCAGAAAGGTCTATAACTCAGTGGGGGCAGTGAGTCCACCCTCTCTGCTATTCTGTTATAGCCTTTATCAGTAAAATACAATGTGAGATCAACGACGACGATAGCATATTAAGTTAAGTTTTAAATTACAACTAACAAAGTAAATATCTCCTTTGGAAAGTTTACACTCTTTCCTGAGGAGATAAAAACCATCGCTCCTAAGAATATCCTTCAATTCTTGTCCCTGACGGGTCTAGGTAGCGAACTTTGAAAAAGGGCGAGCACAATAGATCTATGTAGGTTGCAGTCCCTACTACTCCCTACTCAATAGCCCAAATCGCCCCAATAGTGGGCAAAGAGATTGTTGGTAATGTGGACACATGACCCATTACTAGCAATGTACCATGTCAGGTTGACCTCTACGCGGTTCCCCCTGGAAACTATAAATAAATAAATTCCCGGTGAATTTATCACGATGGGCTGACTGACCTGACTTCATGTTCATCTTATCATCCTCCACTGGTGCCCCGCCAGCGCAAACCGTTAGCGCAGGCGGGTGCACCATTCCATTATCATACACATAAAAAAAAATCGCCCCAATAGGGGGGAAAGGGGATTGTTAGTAATGTGAATTGATAACCCCATTGCTAACAATGTATAATATCAGTTTGACCTCCACGCGGTTCCCCCTGGAAACCATCGTGACAGATTCCTGGTGAGCTTGTCACGATGGGCTAACTGACCTGACCTCATTCTCATCTTATCATCTTCCACTGGTGCCCTGCCAGCGTAAACCGTTAGCGCAGGTGGGTGCACCATTCCTTTATCATACAAAAAAAATCGCCCCAATAAAAAAAACTCACGGCTAGTTTCTCATTAAAAGGATTCAATTGACCAGTAATATTGGTGCGTAACAAGTTGAATGCACCGCTGAACCAAATAAACATAACGATTATCGAAACGAATGTTATAAAAAAATTAAACGATCTAATATTGTGTAATATTTGACATCAAGCTTCAGTCTTCAGTGATATTGTGACGTTGGCAACATTTTTTCATGTAACTGGTCATTCTGTGATATTGTGACATTGGCTGAATGTTTTTCATGTCAAAACTGGTCAAATATGTTACTAGCTCAGATGGGCAGTCACCCATCAGCGGGTTCGATTCCTCGCACGCTACAATCAATTGTTTTCATGAGTAAGATTGTTTGTATCGATCTGGGTGTTTGTTATGTATATAATATGTATATTATGTGTGTACTTATGTTTTAGATTATTTTTATTATTAACCGGGTCTTAGCAAAGTTCAGTAGCATCAATACTCAATAAGTGTGCAGATAGATAGATAGTTATATCGTTTACTTGATTGATAAGTATAATAATATTGATATAACTATTATTTTTTATATTATTAATAGCGTTATATAACTAAAACCAACCAGCCTTTTGACTACCAACTCCATCCACTTAGTATGTTACGACATAGGCAGTTCGAAACTAGATGATTACAAGAATAATGTAATTTTAATAAACATGAGATTGGTTGGAACACACCCAACAAATCACGGACCCATAATATACACGTTCAACATATTTCGGCATTTGTATAACAAAACGAAATTCGACGAGTCGCGAGAAAGCGTATTCGTTTTGGCTGCGACATTAAAATTTCTACTCGGTTTTAACATTTTGATGTGGCCTATCGATAGGGTTGCCAACTTTTTGAACAAAAAAAAACGTGTAAACTGGTTTGGATAGGAAAAAATTAAGGAAAATAAAAGAATTTTTCAAATTCCATGTTTTTATTGCTTTAAAAAGGTATTTGTTTTTGCTTTTAACACTAGAACTGTGTGTCACAACCCACAATTGACATCTAGCATCGTTCAGTAATTATAAATCGTTAACTACTCATAATGAGTATTTTGTTTTACGCATCACATAAAGGTTGAAAATGGAGCATACTATATTTGTATATAAAAGTATAATTACCAAAAATAAAGTAGGATACGATATTATAAAGTATGGTTGGCAACCCTATCGAATCGTTCGTGATTTGATTAGCATTTAGATGCTATTCGATTTTCGAGGAGATGCTAACCCTAGAAGTTGATGATTCTCGAAGAAATTTATTGGAAAATGCCTCGATAATGCTAAGAAAAAAAAATCTAACTTTTCTAATGCTAATATCCGCAACTAACCTTTACAGCTTGAACTAAGGATAGGTGGCGAGTGCAGATGGCACTTTTACTTACTTATACAATATCTTCATAAACAATGAATATGATTATTTGACGGTAGGGAAAAAATAAAATTATAATGTAAAAATTTGACGTTCATAAGCGGCTAAAATGTCCTACATGAATAAATGATTTTTGAATTTGAATTAAAAATAGTAGCTCTTTTTAGAGCTAGAAAAAACTGTACACCTAAACCTTCCTCATTAATCATTCTGCTGATGGATTAAAATCGCATGAAAATCTGTTCAGTAGTTTTTGAGATGGCGAACATAAAGACAGGCGACTTTGTTTTATAATATGTATCATGACTACAGTTAAAACAGAGTCGCTTTCGCTGTCTGTCCGTCCCTATGTATGCTTAAATGTTTAAAACTACGCAACGGATAATGAAGCGTTTTTTTTAATAGATAGAGTGATTCAAGAGGAAGGTTTATATATATAATACTTGTACATACACCCGAGAGCAGCTAGAGCGAGTAGCTAGTAGATTAATCTATTTGGTAAAACTAAATATATATAACTCAAAGGTGACTGACATAGTGATCTATGAACGCACAGCCCAAACCACTGGTCGGATCGGGCTGAAATTTGGCATGCAGGTAGATGTTATGACGTAGGCATCCGCTAAGAAAGGATTTTGATTAATTCTACCCCCAAGGGGATAAAATAGGGGACGAAAGTTTGTATGAAACTGACAATTTTAAACCGATCGGGCTGAGACTTTGCATGCATAAATCTACTATGATGTAGACAACCCCTAAGAAAGGATTAAATAGGGGATGAAAGTTTGTATAAATATCTTCTTAGATTTTCGACTGATTGTACTGAAATCAAAGATTGGAGCTACTATGATGAAGTCGTTCGCTTAAATAGGATTTTGATGAATTCAACCCCCATGGGGATAAAATAAGGGATGATGCAGGATGTAACTGTATTAGTTTGAACCTCTCAGCACCTAATAGAACGAATAAATTAAGACGTACAAAAATTTTTAAGTTCTTTAGGCTACTTTTATTTTAGAAAAATAAAGTTTCACGCGGACGAATACGCGGGAACAGCTAGTAAATCATAAAAGTGAAAATGTAACAATTCAGGCAGAGTACTAGGAGGTAAGAGATATGCACTAGGAGAAATTTCTGATACACAATTTTTATACTATTCTTAACGACTATGATAAAGCGGACGATCGAAAGTGTTATTCCTCACCACACTATATATACATATATATGTATATATATAATCATATATGTTCGTGATGAAGTATCATTCAATCGGATATATTACGAAATCGTGTATAATTTATAGATTACATTGATGTATGTAATTTTTATTTCTTATTTATATTCGATGTACCTAATATATAACATCTATCACTTAATAGTGAAAATGAAATGCCTAAGAATATAAATGAAAGGGAATCCAATTTGCTTATTGCAATTACGTTTCTCATAATCTTTCGATTTCATTGCAATATCTTCTTAATTAACATTTGTTTAATAACCTGCATATTACTTATTCATACATATAAATAAAATTGGAGTGTCTGTTTGTAATATTGAAATAACCGTTTTTTACTACATGCATATCAATATAAATACGGTACATACATCAAAATATTTTTTTTTACAATTTTTGTCTGCCTGTCTTTCTGTTTGTTCCAGCTAATCTCTGGCTGGACCGATTTTGACGAGACTTTTTTTGGCAGATAGCTGCTGTAATAAGGAGTAACTTAGGCTGCTTTTATTTTAGAAAAATAAAGTTAAATTCCACGCGGACGAAGTCGCCTGAACAGCTAGTATTTAAATATGATTAGATTTCAATAGAA